GAATCCCACAATAGGACGAAATGGTTGTCCAGTTCTTCTAGGTTTTCTATGGTGATCTAGCTTCAGTTGACTTATGATCTCAACTATTGAAATAACTATAATACCCACAAAAACCCCTTCCGAAAAGTAATATTCATTGTCTTTATTATTTCAAACACCGAAATTATTTAGTCATAACTAGTATATTTCACATGATTTGAAAGTAAAACAGTAATTGTCAAACAGTTATGATCAGTGAAAAATTTAATAATGTTGAAAATATGAATTGTTGGGTTTCAATTCAGTAGTCAAAATATCCCATTCTTGTCATTAGACCTAATGATCCTTGATTTTATTATTATTATTATACTTAAGAGTTATACTTAAATTATTGAATATTTATTTGAATTGTTTTCTTGTATTGGATTAAGAAGTTGGTATTAGTTGGATGAAATAATGAGTGAATTGATTGCTTAGCGAAGTACTTTGTCAACTGTTTGTGATCTTTATTACTACACAGCTTCTTTTGTGTTTTCAATTTGTTTGTTCACTAAAACTTTATAAGATCTAATCAAGAGTTGTTTCACAATGAATTCAAACAAATAACATTTTGGCAAAATCGTTAAACGTTTCTTCTTAAACCATGAAACGTCCTACGTAAAATTTGTTAAAGATTGTTAAGTAGCTGGTTGTAGTTTGATGAAAGGGTTACAAACAAATTTAGAAGTGTTTATTAATGGATTCCAGCTTAATAATATATATCATTTGAGCTATAGGAGCTAAACCTAAAGATCATGTATTGAAAACGTTATAGGCTAGTATGAAGCGCGCTGCTGAAGAATATCATATTACAAAAAGAATATCTGTCCAGTGTTCTTCATTTTTGACAGTAGTTCAATTGTGATCATTCTCTAATGAATATCATCTATATAATGACTGATTCGTTCATATATGAAGTAATATTTACTTTTTAAAAGTCAGGTATATTTATATAAGAACGACTAGACTGACTAACTATGACTGTATATTTCCAATGATTTTATTATATGTATTAATTGTGTTTGTGAATAATATTCATCTATACATAATACATAGTTACATATATACAAGGTATCTCTGACTAATAAACTTTTCTGATTGCTCATTGTAGATTTTATGTTGACATGTAACAGAACTAGATACTGATTTTTCTGTTTTTCAATAACCTTTATCTTATAATTATTTCACTTATAAATAATACATTCTGTTTACATTTAAAAATGACCCTGTTTATAAAAAAATAATTAATCTTGTTAATACATAAGTTAATCTAAATTGTTCAATGTAAAGAAAAGTTAAATGAAATTATTACTTTTGTTTATTTTTCAAAATTTGAAGTGTAAATATATCATTCTACGATCGTTTACATCTTTCTTATAAACGTATTTGATAAAACAAATAATATATATAGTAAATATTTCAATGTACTGTAGTGAATGAGATTAGACGGTGGTTGGAGGTAGTCGACAGGAAACCCTGGACTGCCAGGTAGCACTAGTTCCCTCAAGATTACAGGTACACCTTACTGACGAGTGCCAAGTATCACGAAATCCGGGTCCAGGGTTTCCTGTCGACTACCTCCAACCACCATCTAATCTCAATATATAGTGCACGCAGTGTCGAGTCACCTAAACTGGTGGCCACATTGCGACATGGTCGATAGCATTCGATCTGCACTAAATAAGGACTTGACACACATGACACTGATCACCACCCAGTGATCAATCAATTTTGTAGTGAATGAAAACACACATATGGGGGCAATCGAATGTATTTCAATGCAAAATTACAGAATATCTTAGTAAAATCTGTGAATCATACAGTAGATTCTTCAGTTTCAAAATATTAATCAACTGTTTCAAACTTGACTATACCTTCCTCAAAATATCAATCTATCTTCTTGGAATTTATAATTCTTTCATTTCCACATCAATCAATCTCTGTTTTCGTTCTCTTTCCTTCGATCTTCTTAAACGTTTGTCACTTACAATTGATGATACATACTACTTATATCTGTCGACATCAGTAGCACACACCATAATACACTTGAATGTTTTATCTTGAAACTAAACTGAAATTTGCTAAGTATATCTTAAAATATTCAAATAAAATACAGAATCGAATTTGTTTGGTTTCTGAGACTGAATGTAGAGTAATAGAATTCTAAAGTAATATAATAAACACAAATCATTTGTATTTAATGAATGCCAAACTAAAGGATACCTTGTAATAAACATGGTTTTCTGCTACAAACAATCCAACTGTGTATAACCATATGATACAAAGATTCTATGATTAGCAGTTATATTTTATATAACCATAAACTTATGACTTGTTATTTTAAGTTCTGAACATTAAGTCACCTTAATTCTTTACATCACAATTATCACTATGAAAGTGAAATTTCTTAAATTAAAGTGTTTCAGATATTTTTCTGGATCGGATTTTATAACTTGTAGATACACAATACTGGAACAATTTATTTCTTTTCTAGGGAAATCCTTATAATAAATAGTGAAATACTTTTTTTAATTTTATTCTTCTCAACTACTTAGATGCATCGTTTACTTTTTGTTACACTTTTATTAGTAATTTAAATAATTACTTATTCTATACAAAAGTAAATCTGGGTTACGGACTATTCAAACATAAAGAATAATGGAATGAACAATTGTTTTCAGTAACTGCATTATCAGACTCGACATATGTGTATATTCATATTTATAATAGTAAGAAGGCCAAATTATGTCATGCTAGTGAGTTAGATCAAGTTATGTTGGAGAAAATGGTGAACTTTCGAGTATTTGCGGGTACAAATACTTCGAAACTGCATCATTTATACATTAAAAAGATTGATTTGGAAAAAGTTAGAGGAATTCATTATGAAGAGTCAAAATACAATCAGTCATGTGAGTAAAATACATAGTACAGAAACTTTTATCTAGTTAATTAAGGCACTAATAACAACAATAATAATGTTAATAACATTTCGTGAATAGACTACTTAATAAGGGAGGTGTTGTTAGAATAATTTTGATGAGAAATTCGTGTGAATTTGAAAAACACATCTGTAAGTTGAACATGGAACTGAACAGATATAAAAATAATGTAGTGATCTAGTTGTTGATCAAGGTAAACATAGAGGCTAAATATAAAACTTCTGGATGTATTATTCAGGTCTTCAGATGATCACAATCGCTCTATCTATTTACAGAAGTTGTATTCTTGATCCTTTAGGGTGATTATTTTGAATTTAGTATAAAACCAAGAAGCTCTTATCTACTTTAACATGACATTCGCAATCTACCGAACGAGAAGGGAGGATACTATTAAAAGATGTCGTAGCACCTTTTCTTAAACTTACTGGATAGTATAATTTTTTTTTAAGCAGAATTCAACTGTTAGTTTATTTGTAATTCCTTTTTGGGTGGTGTGAATAAAGCAACTACTCAAAGGCGAATAACTAAATTAGTTTTGCTTTCAAGTTTGAAGCTATCGTGTCGAATCTTCGAAATTGTCCCGATGTTATTGATTACATTTATTCATATGAATAATAGTGCGAATAAGCAGAGATGGATAGTGGCTAGCAGTGGAATGGAGGACGCGCGTTTCGTCCTGTTTGGGACTCGTCAGCTGGATGTACCTGCATCTCAGAGTTGATGTTCACTCTGGGACTCGAACTCAGTACCGTTCGCTTCAAACGCCATCGCGTTATCCACTTAGCTACTGAGTCCTGATAGCCACTTGCTTGTGCAATGGGGTGAAGTTTAATTCACTTGATATTGTTTTATTTGAATCTTCCCATTGATGTTTTAGGACTGAAGTTGATCAGTCTCTTATTGGCATATGTGCATACTGTGCGTATGCCTCGATATTGCCTTAATTTACAAGCATTATAAGCAGAGATGGATAGTGGCTATCAGGACTCAGTAGCTAAGTGGATAACGCGATGGCGTTTGAAGCGAACGGTACTGAGTTCGAGTCCCAGAGTGAACATCAACTCTGAGATGCAGGTACATCCAGCTGACGAGTCCCAAACAGGACGAAACGCGCGTCCTCCATTCCACTGCTAGCCACTATCCATCTCTGCTTATAATGCTTGTAAATTAAGGCAATATCGAGGCATACGCACAGTATGCACATATGCCAATAAGAGACTGATCAACTTCAGTCCTAAAACATCAATGGGAAGATTCAAATAAAACAATATCAAGTGAATAGTGCGAATAGTTTCACATTTCTATTGGTGTCGTAATTATTTATTAAGGAAACTGCTGTTGATCAAATATATGAATCTTTAAAATATATCAACTAACCTATCGTCAATAAAATTGCTCGACAACATTCAAACCAATAATATCTTCAATCTCATTTAGCAAATGTCTTTTCGGAAAAATCAAAAGTTAGACAGTTATTTTGAATAAAACTAAGCATCATCTTGTTTTGTCATGGAATGAATATAGTGAAGAATGGATTTTAATTCAGTAGTATTGAAAGTCTAAAGTTTTATACGAATCCTTTAGATTTTAGTTTCATTCAAATAGAGGTTCATGAATGCTCACTGATTTTTCGAATTTTTATTAATTATCAAACGATATTAATTTATTACTATTACACTATATAAGTAAAGATGGATAGTGACTAGCAGTGGAATCCAAGATGCGCGTTCCGTGTTATTTGTGCCTCATGAGATGGATGTACCTGCATCCCAAATAAAACAAAACGCGCGTCCTGGATTCCACTGTTAGCCGCCATCCATTTTTGCTTAAAATACTTGTGACTTGAAGCAATATCGAGACAATCCTTTCACGATGTACATATGCCGATAAGAGATTGATCAACTACAGTTTTAAACATCAAATAAACAATACAAAATGAATTATACAACTGGTTTATTATAAATGTAAATACCTTTGAATATTTGTTAAATGTTTCACTGAGATATACTTAACTTTTTTTTCTTTTGGATTGTTTTATTTTAGTGTTTATCAAATTTCCAAAGTGCCAAATGTTCATTAATTCATTATGTTTATTATATAAAATAATAATAATTTCAATAACAGTAATAATTCCTAAATGTTTTTGTCTTATGGGAAGTCCTCCAACAAATTTACCGGAATGTTTGAATTCTGGAACAAGAACCACTATTAATGAACGTTACAGGTAAACAAGGTTGTGTTTTTTTTTTTAATACCGATTAACTAGTTTCAATTTTTTTCTTTTTTATTCATTTTCTAAAACCGATCATAAACAATTGAGTAATGAAACTTTGAGATGTTATTTTGGTGTATAATTAAATAGGTGATATATACTTGCATTACATGTTTGAGCTGACTTTTTAGTGGCTCGAAATTCAACTTCAGGTAGATTGTTTCTGATTATTATTATTGAAATATACATGTCACCAATCCTCTCAATATAAACATTGACTTAAATCACGTTGATGAATAATGGAATTAAATAAGTTAAATACGAGAATGGATTTTTGAATACCTATATATTTTACAATTGTTGATCAGAATAGACAATCAGAGAGACGTAGCGAAGGAAGCGAAGAGGATAGATAAAAGTTAAGTGAAATCATGCGCAGTGGAGAAGACGTGTGTACAAACTCCACTTAATCAAGCGTTAATCAATATTTATCGTCACACAAAAATAAGTAACAGACATGTAATGAACTGGATAAGAAGTGCACATACACACGCTCATATAAAGACAGTCAAGGTTGATAAGCGAATAATTAACAAAGTCAAAATGTGACTCAAAGAGAGTGAGTAAATTGGCTTGTCCGGAAGCTAGAATACGCTATGTGGGTTTAACATAGCAACTGACACTAGAACTTATATTAAACATTATTATAAATGGAACAAATTTCTGGGGTTAAAAATTGCTGAACAGAAATATTTGACTAATTTTAGAGTTACTTATTACAGAGATTATACACTAGGGTAACATATATATATATATATATATATATATATATATATATATATATATATATATATATATATTTCATTTAAATCTATTTAATAGCATAACTGGATTTCATAAAACGTGTTCTTTATGACAGTTAGTTTCTTTTTTAAAAACGTTGAAGTATGATGCTGTAAATCGGGGATATTAATTTAGATAAAACGACATCTTGAAATACCATGAACAAATTAGTATACGTTTTTCTTAAATTTTTTAATCGTATTCATCATTTCTGGTTATTTTTAACGTGAAGAGATTAAAAGCAATTACTTAATCTGAATGGGTTATTTAACCATATTGAAATGTAGTGAATTTACTTAATTTCAGGTTTCATTTCACATGAATATTCTTCCAAACATGTAATATATATGGTTTTTGATTGAAATCATGAACCGATTGATGTTAGATCACCATTGAAAACCTGGAAGCACTGGACGGTCATTTCGTCCTATTGTAGTACTCCTCAGCAGCGCTCTTCCACGACCCCGCTCGCGGGATTCGAGCCCAGGGTCTTCCGATTCACGCGTGAGATCCTAACCTACTGGACCACTGAGCCGGCATCCAGTGGTGTTAATGTTTAACCTGGGTTCGAGCCCCGCCAGTGGGATCGTGGAAGTGCAATACTCAAGAGTCCGGTAAGAGGACGAAACGACCATCCAGTGCTTCCAGGTTTCTAATGGTGATCTAACATCATTTGGTTCATGATCTAAATCAAAAACTTAGTAATCTCCACAACCCCTATACTGATAATATATATGGCTTAAAATTGAAAAAAGGCATGTATAAAATTTATATTTTTACGTCAATATATAAAGAACTTTGTTAAATGTTCATCTGGATTAGATAGAAGATCAAAGGGATAAAATTGATTAGGAAAGTAAAAGTAAGACATTTATACTAGTGAAAAGTTGGTTTATTAGATTTGCTTATGGTAATTCACATTATATCCATGATATCAAACTTGAATATCAACTTAAAGTTAGGGCTTCTAATCTTTATGACAGAAATGACTTCCTATGAAAACTTGACTTTTTCAGTATAAAGCAATTAATCTTTAGAGAAAATTATCTAAATACACTTATTTATGTGTAAAATTTGTCAATAATTAACTTTATTCTATAGTTAGTATTACATTTTATCTTTTTAACCATATCAATCTATTTTTGTTTTTTAATCAGTTGTTCATGTATAGATTCTTATATGAATCGACAATGTAAACTATTGTCGATTAATGTTGCCAATACTCCAATAGAAATGCCTTTTACTAGTTTTTATATTAATACAACAATTCAACAAACTGTACATATTGGTTTTCAATTTATCACTTCAGACAACAGTGGAAATGGTACATTGTTTACACTTAGAAATATGGTAAGCTACTATGTATTGATCATTTATATTGTCTTAAAAATAGTTTCGTTGTTAAGTTATCTTAACTGTTTATTTTTTATGGTCTCTGTTAATAAATTTAAAAAAATTTAAGCTTTTTTGAAAACAAGCTGATAATAATGGTCTGAAATTAAATTAATGAAAATAATGAATGAAAATGTTTATATTTCAATTTATGATGTTCACTTCCAAACGGTTATGTTTACTGTTTCATTGAGTGTACGATGCCATCAAACACCCTGGAACGAAAAGCGAATGCCCAGCGTTTTAACCGGGTTAGTGGATACGAAAAGTCAACCTCGGGGAGTTGTAAAACCCTGATTCCAAACCAATGGTACACATCGGCTCCAGGATCTTGAGGGAACAAATGGCGTAGGAACTAATTATTGGTCACTGGCTACCATGAGACTGCATCTTCTGACGTTGCTCCACTGCCTTGTAGATCAGAAGCTTAGGTCGAAGACTCCTATTATGCCCCACTAAGATAACCACCTATTTCGGTCCGGGCATCCGGGTAGTATCACAGCCCACACACGAATCAAAAGACTTGTGCGGCGCATATGTATTCTGTGCCCCTTAGTACCAATATTTATGTGTTTAAATAAATAAATAAAACGATATTTGTCAGTTTCGTTTTTACTAGATAACAACTGAATATGTTATCTAGATATATGAACTTCAAAATTCAATAAACTAAGCATTTTAACTTAGATATATAAAACTTATGGTAGGTAATTTCAGTTAAAAATAAATAGTAACTTGGTCTTTCATCAATACTTCATGGATGATAATGATTCAGTCACAATTGATTGATCACTGGGTGGTGATCAATTTCATGTGTGTCAAGTCCTTATTTAGTGCAGACCGAATGCTATCGACCATGTCGCAATGTGGTCACCAGTCTAGGTGACTCGACACTGCGTGCACTATATATTGAAATTAGATGGTGGTTGGAGGTAGTTGACAGGAAACCCTGAACCCGGGTTTCGTGCTACTTGGCACTCGTCAGTAAGGTGTACCTGTAATCTTGAGGGAACTGGTGCTACCTGGCAGTCCAGGGTTTCCTGTCGACTACCTCCAACCACCATCTAATAATGATTCAGTTTTATTTGTAATAATTTACACAAAGTAAAAATATATCTAGTATTTTCATGATATTATTTTTGAATAATACCTAAAAATCATTATAAGTTAATAGTTATAACAAAATATAATACTTTATGAATAATTGGAGATTATTGTTTATCACTAAAAAAAATCAACCATAGATACTTTTCATGTAAACTGTTTCAAAAACATATATTTCTTTTCCAATATTATAAATGACCATATTTCTGATAAAGTTAAATGTTAGGTGTATCATTTAGATTAAAAAAGCCTGTTGTTTTATATGATGAATTTATTTTGATTTGTCCCAACCGTTGCTGCGACCTTGACGTGGTGGTTGAACTTGCCTATTGTGATGAAAAAATCGGGCTATACTGGCTGGAAAAATCGTTCCTCAAAGTCCTACCATGCCACACAGGTCAGTTGAAGAACCGTAAGACTAAAAGCAGAAGGATCCGAAGGCGAAGTCATACTGTTGACTGTACAGAGGTGCGAGGACAGTAATGTGTTTCCTTCAGACAACCAGCATGACAGTGATTCTGCCATCCCACAAGGAGGGGTAGGGCTAGAAAAGGTCAATCTTAATAATGCACACCTCGCATTATCTAACGGATATCCGTCTCCAGCGGTAGGGTCTTAACATTGAAGGAGCTAACACAAAAATTACTAACAAAAAGGTCATGTGTAACCAACCTCAAGCAGTTGTCCGTTGAACACTGCGGTCACACTCTCGGGTCAGTAAGACCATCTCTAACTTTATTTCCTTCTCAGGTACCTCCGGAAGTACCCTTCCACAGTGTGGATAATCAGGAAGTGATAACTGCTCTCATACCTTTAACAGCACTCAAGACAGACTGACTTTGATTTCTATACTTATCGATGGTATTCTTTTGATTTGCTTCTAATTACCGAATTCTTAATCCAACTTAAGATGTACCTATGAAATAGCATGATTAGTAAGCCTTGTGAAAAACAAATTAGATTTTGTGGTTTTCAACTGGTTTTCATTATATAATAATGTACAGAATGTTTTTGTTACTGGAAGTAATTTACTTCATATGTCGATAGATTTATAATCCAAATCAAACAAAGATATAAGAAAATAACAAGTATAGTCATAGCTTTTAAATATGTCATCTGTGTCAATGTTTTGCATTCACGACACCGCTTCGAGAGGTTCGAACCCAGGACCCGTCAGTTTCGCGCGCGAGCGCTCGACCACAAGACCACTGAGCTGGTATCAATCTGTTTTAATGTTTAAATTCAACCAATTCGCGAAATCGCACCACTGTTCACCATTGTTTTTAGTGAGTTACTATCTAATAACAGACCCAGTTGAACTCCATTGGTCACGTCTTCTCACTAAAACTTTAATAAATACCTTTTGAAGCCAGTCACTAGTGAACATATGATGTCTTGCGAGCGAAACCGATAGGTCCTTAGTTCGAATCTCGTGAGCGAGATCGTGGATGTGCACTGTTGAGGAGTCCCACACTAGGATGAAACGACCGTACAGTGCTTCCAGGTTTTCTATGGTGATCTAGCTTTAATTGACTCATGAACTTAATTATTAAACTATTATAATATCCACAAAAAACTCCCCTTTCTGATTAAAATGTAATTTGTTTCCTATAAATTCACAAATATTCAAAATATTTCATAAATTCAATCTTTCATATATATATTTTATTGTAAAATTAAATGATAATTTTCCAGAATCCAAGTTCATATTATTTCAGTGACAATGTTAAATTGTTTATTCTATTTGATTTTGTCATACTTTACAATATGTCATAATGTTTCATGAAACACAACTAGAATAAATAGGTATAATAATAAGTAATTGGATTAAATTAATAAATATCTATTATATTGGTATTATGTATTACAGAGATATCTCTAAATTATTATTATTTATTAGTGTGTATGTTATTTTCTTGATTATTCAAGTAACTGATATCGATACTATATTGATAGTGTATTTTTGTCTCCATTAACTTTGACATATGACAAAATGTTTTATAATAAAAGAAAGTTTAAGTTTGATTGTTTATGAAATTAGATGATACATTCGAGTGTTTCTATAGAATAAAATCTATCCAAGTTTTATACAGTAAAGTAGATCTGGAGAAAAAGAAATGTAAAATACATAATCCGTTGAGATAGTGGGAAAGATTTGTAGTTTAGGTGGATGATTTTGATGGAGTTTTGATCATTGAGCTGGATGGGTTGGTTGTGGAGCTTTCATCGTTCTTCTGAGTGACATCATCAGTATAAACTTCAGATAGAATTGAAGTCGTTGAACTTTTCCACATATAGTTCACCGTTTATTCTGTAGACCTCGATGAAACGTTTAAGGTCAACAGTAACCAAACAACATCGAGGTCTCCCGGACAAGCTATGAGCCATATGTAGAAAAATTCGAACACCTCGATTCTGCTTGAAGTTTATGCTGATGATGTCGTTCAGATGAACGATGAAAACTCCATGATCAAACTATCCAGCTCGGAGAACAAAACTCCATCAAAATACGTAATTCGTATTTTGTAAGTCTGTTAAGATGAATTTAAATCGTTTATGGTTCCACATTAACAATATAAGATTATTTTTCCTTGATAAACGATATATATTCTATAATAGTTCTATGAAAACTGAAGGTTAAATGTGTTACTATTTTGCTTTCATTTTACTCTTCTTTTTCAACACCGAATACTATTGTTTATTAAAATCGTCCAACAAAATAGGTAGCTGAAACATTTGATAGTAAATTGAAAATTCATTTATCTGGTCAAAGCTATTCTTCAGCTTTATGGTATTTATCACAGAAAGATTATTAAGATGGCTTGTAACAAATTTGAAATAATAAGATTAGAATGAACTCAACCTGATAGTTTGTTTCTAAAATCTGTTAAAAGTAATGCATATGAGCTACTAAGGCGAGTAGTTAGTTAAGTAGTTAAGGAATGGATATTTATGTGGTGAGTTTTAATATTTTTCTGATTTTGTGTTGCAACAAAGTTTATCAGTCTATACATGCTGATTAATTTCTCATTGATCATTCAGACATTATTCATCTATAGATTTATATACTTATTTCAATGGAAAAGTTAAATTGAATATTTATGGAGTTGTTACTTGTGTGAAATGGTGTTTTCATTAATAAGGATTTCCTAATACAAATAGTTCATTATAAAAAATTGAAAGTTATGTAGTGTATTCAAACATAACAAATATCTTCTTTTATGAAAAATAATATATTTTGAATACATTCTTTAGTGGTCCTATATATCTGTGTTAGGATGTGCAGAAAAATATACCAATAGTTATCATGTTAAGTCTAATATTGTCCTTGGACGCTAAATGTACATTCCCTATTGGTCGGTATCTGTTCACTTATTGAATATTGTACAAAATGTTGTTTTCTATTTTTATGGTACGATGTGGTCTGCTTGGTTAGTATATAAATAGAGTATGGCTGAAATACAATGATTCATATCTCAGGGGCTGTGACTTTCGTTCTGGACTCAACTGGCTGGGATAGACAGGGAAGCAGGGCCAATCGGGATACTAGGTCGTTCATTACGTGTTTACGTGTCACACTGTAACCGATCGATAAAACGCTGCTTATCGAAACCCGCAGTCACCCGTTACAACAATCTGGCTCCAATTTGATCGTATAAATGATATTGAAATATATATATCATCAATCCTCGTATATAATTACTGACTTAATTCGGGTTAGTGAGTGACGGAATTCAATACGTCATATACTAGAATTCGTTTCAAATACGTATATTTCATACAATCTGTGATCCGGACAAAATATCGGAGAAGCGAAGAGAAGAAAGCGAAGCGAAATGATGCGCAGTGGAGGTGTGTGAACCAACTCGATTTAATCAAGCGTTAATCAATATTTATCGTCACACAAAAATAAGCTAGAGACATGTCATAAGTAGGATAAGAAGTGTACACTCATACGCTCATATAAAAACAGTCAAGATTGATAAGCGAATAATTGGAAAGGTCAAAGTGGGACTAAGAATAGTGAATAGACTGATCTGTTCAGAGGCTATAACAACCTATGTGAGCTTGCATAGCAACTGACACAACAATTCCTTAATAATTACAAATTTTTGATTGAGATTATCATTCGATTGATTTTAGACCACCATTGAAAACCTGGAAGCACTTGATGGCCATTTCGTCCTAGTATAGGACGTCTCAGCAGTATGCATTCACGATCACGCACGCGAATCCTGGATTCCACTGCTAGCCACCATCCATCTTTGCTTATAAAATCCTCATTCTGTTCGCAAGCATTTGGAATACATACGAATATTCTATGGTAAATAGAATGTATATTCAGCGTAAAGTAAATTTACGGAAGTGTGAATTGGTTTACAGTTCTCTGCAGGCAGTGATTTCGCAAACGTTGACAATATTTTGTTACTGGTTAGTGATAACTGGTTTCATTTGTTTGACAAATCAAATAAAAATGAGCCATTTAAATCTGCAGTTGAAACCACGAACTGATCTTATTCAGACCACCATGGATAATATAAAAAGAACTGGATAACCGTTTCGCTCCCGCTTGGGACTCTTATACAATTAGTATTCGTGAATCCTCAGTTGGTAGCCAAACTCGAGTCTCCGGTCTCGTGAGGAGATGCTCAAACTCTAAAACACTAGTCCGACGTCGAACGGTATTAATGTCTGACTTCAAACAATTTACGATGTTTTTAAACTCCTATGTTTTTTCTGAGGTGCTTTAGCTCACTAGAATTGAAGGAGTGACTGTGAGCGCACGATTGTTATTAGTATAACAAGATTGTGGAGGTTTTATTTTTTCATAGTTTCAATCATGAAGCAGATTTCCACCACATCAAATGTAAGACAGATGTCCACCACAAACAACTCATATGGGTTGCACAATATCGTAAATTGTTTGAAGTTAAACATTAATACCGTTCGACGTCGGAACAGTGGTTTAGAGTTTGAGCATCTGCTCACGAGACCGGAGACTCGAGTTTGGCTACTAACTAAGGGTTTGCGAATACTCATTGTATAACAGTCCCAAGCGGGAGCGAAACGGTTATCCAGTTCTTCTTGCGTTTCTCGTAGTGTTATTACCAAGAGTAATTAGTGGTTTAAATTGTGGTTATGTATGTATATCGAAGCACTGTTTATGGTAGAATGGAATAAATAAAATCTTTGAAGATTAATGTATTGTTAATTCTTCTTTTTTTTTTTTTACAGAATTCTACATTTTTTCTAAATGAACAATTAATTCAAATCAAATTTACCCTTGAATTTGGACGAATTAGTGTAAATTTCATTTATCTATCAAATTCAAAAACTCTTCGTTTACCTTCAGGTGCTGTTGCACTAAATGACAATGCTTGGCATTATGTAGATTTTTTTCTGAATACACAGGTAATATTTTAATAAAAAAGTGAACTGGTTTTTTCCCCACTGATTTTGATCAAATATGATTAGATTCAAATAGCAAGAATAATGCAGGGACCTGGTTCTCAGTAAAACTGTACTGATTCCATTTAACTTGTTACATGATCCTGTTAGTTGTGTATACTGGTTTATTTTTTGACACAATAAAGTAATATCGGAGTAATGTAGGGAGTGAAGATATATGAATTGTAAGTTTAATTATTTTTCTCATAACGGAGTCAACAGTTTCTGAACAGATATTTTTAAGCTATATCAGTTTATTGCATTCTATTATGAGCATGGAGCACAACTAGTGTACATTGAACAAATCATTTGTTCTCGATTTGTGTTTTTGATAGATCATTCTCTGCAGATTCACTTAAGATTTAGACATCTGAAAATGATCATCTTAATGTCGATACATTCAAATCAAAACCAATGATAATAATTAACTATTGCTCTTGATCATTTATTTTGAAGAAATAAACTTGCATACATTGCATTAAGTTATTACATATTTTTAATAAATTTCCCTATTTCATCAATTATTTATACAGGTTAATGGCGAATGGAATCTAGTCTTATTGATAGATCGTTGTAAATATTCTGAGTTAGGACCGTGTATGGTGAACGATACAATCATTTTATCAGTGAATACAATACAAATAGGAGGTTATATTCTAATAGGTGATGAATCTGGTCCATCTACAGAGAGATTTAGAGGATGTTTTGATAATGTTATGGTGAATAGAGAGGTAAATTTTTTGAAGTAGATTTTCAGTTAAATTGTCATACTGTAATTAACTCATCCGGCTTAATTACAACATTTTATAAAGTTACCATTTATATTCATTTCTGGTTATTGTGAATATTTGTTTTTATGATTATTATCTTTTTGACTCTGTCGTCAAGGAATTGTCTTCTACCTCAATTGTAAACTAGGTTAGACTAGAATGACTTGAATTACCATCATTTATATCTTTTGAGACGAAAAACTAGTTTAGAAGATACAATTTCGTTACTCCCCTTAATTCTATTCCTGATCCACATGTGGTGCGTAAAACCTATGGAGTCCAGTATAATTGTATAAATTTATATGATGCTAAGATGTTAAACAACGAAAGTCCCAGAGAATTTGTAAAATTCTCGGTAAATGTACATACGTTCTAACAAACTTTGACATTCACTGAACGCTTTATTGACTTATGAAGGTCAGCTGTATGTATTTGTATTTGAGACAACTTAAATCCCGATAATGTTTGATGTAAAAATGCCTAATGTTAGTAAATACTCAATAAATGTGAAAGCAATTTACGTAGGATGGTGTAAAATATTTAGCTTATAAATGATATCCTCGTTAAGTTAATGTTCATAAATCAATCCTGAAATTTAATTGAAATAAAATGTAGTCTATTTTATCCTTTTAGTTGATCGATTTCTACCCGGTACTTTTATCGCAAGGTTCTCGGCGTGGTTGTCCAGACTCTCAGAAAGGTTGTGTAAGAGGTAATGTAAAACTATGTGGAAAGTATGGGAAATGTCGAAATGCAATAAGTTCCACCGATATATTGACTTGTCAATGTGAATTAGGTTATCGACCTAATATAACAGGTGCACCGAAACCACATAGATGGCCATGTGAAACTGGTAAGTAAAGCTTTTAGAAATACACATTTATGAATTCAATAAAGAAAAAATAATTAGCTCTTCAATATATGCTGTGTTTGTGTTATTATAATTTTATCAAAATTACTTAAAAATGATTAAATGGATATACAAAATCTGACAACTAAATGAATAGGTGGACTATTTTATAACTCTATATATCTCTTGTTACAACTAGGACATCCGATAAACATAATTACCGAAATTGAAAAATGCAAAAGTATAAGGGACCGATTGATATAACATTGGTCTTATTTGTTAGCAATGATGGATAGTGGCTAGCAGTGGAATCCAGGACGCGAGTTTCGACTAATCAATTGTAGTCTTAAACCTCAATCGGAAGATGTCGTTTGAAGCGAATGGTAATGGGTTTGAGTCCCAGAGTGAACATCAACTCTGAGATGCAGGTACATCCAGCTAACGAGTCCCAAATAGAACGAAACGCGCATCTTGGATTTCACTGCTAACCACTGTCCATCACTGCTTACAAAAAGCTTGTGAATTAAGGTAATATCGAGGCATACGCACAGTATACACATAAGCCGATAACAGACTGATCAGTTACAGTCTTAAACCTCAATGGAAAGATATAAGCCAAATAATACCAAGTGAATTGGTCTTATTTATTATCAGAATTGTGTATATTTTATTTAACAGATTGTTCTGCTTAAATCTTTGTCAAATTCATAATTGTGACAACTCGTTTCTTTTCTTAAAAATAAATTTTTACTTACCGTAGATTGAAAATTTACTAGATGTAGTCATTTAATCTAAAAGCTAAATACAATCGAGTATGGTGTCCAGTTATTCATACTAATCTGGTTTATACTTATCTAATTACATTGATTTACTTGAAAAGAAGCTGATTTATTTTATACTTTCTTTTAAAATATCTCAAAACTTAGATAAATAATAATTATTTGTCACATTGACAGAAATAAGAATGAAAGTGTCAAATAGTAAGTTATATCGGGTATTATTCCTAAATAAATATCTTATACAGTTGTAAACTCTATTAAATGGACAACTGATAGGGATTTGTAGTAACTGTATTAGATATATTCAAATGACTTAGCATACACCTGGGATATGCACAGATTTGTACATCAGTAAAATAAATAATACAACACTTCTTAGACGATGGACAAATCACAGTTAATAAATTGTACGATAGATAATATTTTCGAAATATTCAATGCCTGTAAACGTTGGTACCAACGTCTTTAAATACAGTAATACATGGTGCACTTTCAGCAAAACTGCATATATTCACCTTGCTAAAAAGTATCAAGAAATATACTTCTAGGGTGTCAACTTTCGATTGCTTGTAATGACATAACATTGAAACATAGTTCACTTATTGTCATATTCCATTAGACTAGTGGTCTCGTTATAAGTTGTTGTACAAAATTAAATTAAGATTGAATACTATGAAAACATAGAGTTTCTATCTATCCTGGTGAGAATGTCTTGACTGTAAACATTTCTTTCAGAAAATGTATGCATTTTTCATGTTGTGTGACTTCTACTTTTCAGTTTCTGATGGCTGGTCTACAACCAATGTAGTTTACAATGCATTATTCACTGATAAAGTTCCGAATCGTTTACGATTGAGCATAAGAACAAGAACTCAAACGTTTATGGTTTTTGCAGTTGGTGCGTGGAAACTTTCTATAAGTGTGAGTCAATGATATTTTGATTTAAATATTAAAGTTATTTGGAAATGAATCTTTTTCAAGTCATTCTATGAGTGTATAAACATTTTTTAAAATTTGAATTCAAGTCATATACTTATTTACTTGTTTATCCCCATTACAGAATACATAGTCCGGAATTTAGAACAAAATTGTAGTTTCTGTGAAATTTTTCAATTCAAGTAATTCAAATACTTAATGTGGTTTTATTGTATGTGTGTGACTACTCGTTGATGCTCTCATGATTACCTTTACAAAGTTTAGATTAGCCTGAAAATTTCATTTTACATTCTGGGCTACTTAGCATGAAATAAGTAGTTTGTCATAAATCTTAAAAAGTATTCTGTGAGGGTTTTCAGTCATTGATGACGAAAAGAAATACCCATACTAGATTCTTGGTCCTTGAATTAGAGATATGTTGAAAGGGTAGGGTAAAATGTTAGTAAAAGTAATAGTATACAAAAATTTGTTTCTGATTGTTTTGTTGATAGAATTTATGTATTGTTGTCAATAACTTTTATGGTGTTTTCCTCCTAATTATTTTAATTTAAAAAACATAAATTCAGACATGCCAATTTGATTTATAAAGCTAAAATAATGCCTAACAAATTGAAAAGCGAATTCCTTTCGCGTTCACTAATTGAAATATATACATGTGAAGATTTGAATTGAAAGATTTTTTATTCCGAACTGAAATGTATTCTTGATCTTAATAGTCATTAAAAGATAGATTTTATAACAATAGAAGGAAGAAGGTGTTTAAGTTTGTTTGAATCCTTTGAACCATAATTTTGATCTATTTTAGTTCTGGAACAAAATATGAAATCGGAAGATTGTAAATCAATAAAGAATATCATGAACTAATCAAAGATAGAACACCACTGAAAAACTGGAAGCACTAGACAGCTGTTTCCTTCTAGTATGAGACTTCTCAGCAGTGTGCATTTACGATCGCACATGAAGGGTTCGAACCAAGGACCTTCAACCTCGTGCGAACTCTTAACCTTCAGACAACTAAACCGAGATCCAACAGTGTTAATGTCTAACTTTAACGAATACACGATATTGCGTTACCATTTTAATTGCCTTCGGTAGGTAACAGTATCATGCCAGACACGGCTGAACTTCACTCGTTACGGCCTCTTGCTAGAACTCCAAGCATCACCTATTGAAGGGAGTGACTAGTACGTGATAAATATCACTCTAGGGTTGTGGAGATTAAGAGCTCACGCGAGCACGAAGGTCCTGGGTTTTGAGTCATGCTTGCGGGATCTTGGCTGCGCACTGTTGAAGAGTCCTATACTAGGACAAAAAGGCCGTTCAGTGCATTCAGATTTTTGATGATAGTCTGAAATTGACCGGTTCATGATTTCGATAAAATCTCAACAATCTCTACAACCCTGTGCTGGGAATGAAGAGTAATTTTAGTGGTACGCTATTTCAGTAGAAAGTATGTTTCTCAGTATTTTCGTACAGATAATTTAGATGCAGTACAAGTATAGTATGTTCTGTGACCTGGAAAACACAGTTTATGGAGGATGCTAACGTTTCAGCTAGGGTGATGATATACAATATGAAATTTAAGATATGGACTTTAATTAAGGATGTTAAATGAACAATTATTTCGTGGTTTACATCAATGAGCAAATCGAACGAATTTGGAACTAGTTATGAAACTCTTGTTGACATCACGAGTTGATCTTATTTAGATAAACATTGAACATGACTTTACAACCTAACATGAAACTCCTAAGCAGTCAGCATCCATAACACCGCAATCGTGAGTCAAACTAGGGCATCTGAGTTCGTGCACAAACTATCAAATTCTAAACCAGTGATCCGGGATTCAGTGGTGTGAATTTATGATTTCAGTTGGCTCATGATATTGTGGGACAGTGATTTATTGTTCGCGGTGGATAATTATTTTATATGTATATTGGCTACAAAGAAAATGACTATAAGTTTACTACTAATGAGTTTTAGAATAATGATTAAAAGCTTACTTGGTACAGATTGAAACATCCACAATGAGCAAAACAACTTATTGTTCCTAAGACACTCTATTTGAAGAAATACAAGTATATTTTTATTGTTGTTTGGTATAAACTGTAATTAGCCATAGATTGTATAAAAACCGTGGGGTATTAGACTTTTAGTTCTATCTAATTCAGGATTCTCTGGAATACGTACTCAATATCTTGTATAATGTCATATTAAAAACTTTCAAATATCGAGAGTATCATGGAATAATCCAGACTTTGAGATAGTACCTGATAGTTGATAGTTCTGTAACTGAGTCAGTTTCTGATATGTGTCACTGTTAGATTGTGTCATTGATAATTGACTTTCTTACTTATGACTCTGATGAAGCCTCACGTTATGGAAGTTTAAGAAGATTACCGATACTCCATCTTCGGACTCATTTAATTCAAGAAACTTTTTTATTGAATACAGATGCAAACTTTGTGAATTTAGTGTGATGTAGTGTCATGAACACTGAACGTCAAGAATTCATTAGTATGGGGTTAAGATTATCAAGTTTTTGATTGAGATCATGAACTGACTGATTTTAGACCACCATTGAAAACTTGAAAGCATTGGACGGTCGTTTCGTCCTATTGTGGTACTCCTCAGCAGTGAGCATCCACGATCCCGCTCGCGTGTTTGAAAGCCAGGGCCTTCGATCTCGCGCGCTAACGCCTAACCTTTAGACCACTAATCCTGTATCCGACAGTGTTAAAGTCTAACTTCAACCAATTAACGAAGTTGCGTGACCATCTTCCTTATTATTATTAGGAAAAGAAATAATCGCATAGTACTCTCCGACTTCCATTCTTTTATTAGAAATTTCTTACTAGTATTCTAACTATTTCCTACTAGTGTATTCTTTGCATTTCACTAAAAGTACAATGACTTTCTTCCTAAGGAATAAAAAAAGCGTATTCAACAGCTTATATATTCACATAATACAACTCCCTGTATATAATACACGTCACATATTTCGTACATGGCTAATTATGTCTGTATTTTGAATCTATCAGTAATAAAAAACATACATTAGTGGTATATAAAATACAAAGTAATTCATCCATTAGTTAGTTATCAAAATCTTATGTAAAACTAACAAAAATCAACATTGATAACAAATAAATAAAAGAAAAATGGAAAAATACTTCAAAAAAAAACGAAACACAAAACATGAAAATGATATTTCATTGTATCAGTCAGTCATCAACAACATAGAACTTCGTACGTACACACATTATTTCGAGTTGCCATACCACATTAGCACACAGATACAATTGTCATTTCAAATCCTATATTGGTAGACACCATAAAATTATAAGCAGTAATCAGAAAGATTAGAGTTTGATAATGTTATTCAAAGACTTCAATCCATTGAAATATATTTACAAAATGGAAAAAAAAAGGGGTGACATGATGAATTTTAGAAGATTAGAATATGAGAGAACACAAACAATAGATGCACTTGCACCATTAGTTAATATTTACATAATTATGTAAATTTCTTTTTCTTAAAACAAAAACAAAAACAAAACAACAATAGTCAACATACTAAATTGTGATAGAAACAAAACAGCAACAACAACCGCAACATCAACAGAACAACTCAACTTTACAGTTAACCATGTAGGTAAAAGATTAAAAAAAATACTCTTAATAATAAATAATAAGAACACATACAAAATAGTCACTGTTAACTTATTTGTTTGAAAGGTCATAAATTGAATCTTTTTTTATGATTAAATTTCTATTTTAAATAATATGGTAAATACCATTTTATTGGATAAAATGATTTTGTTCAATAATGAATAGCGGAATATTTGAAAAATATATAAACAATAAATTCATTATTCAATAGAAAGGATAAATAGATTTTTTTTAATTTTTTTTAATTTTTGATAAATAAATTCATTTTTGAATTCAATATGTTAATTATTGAAGTATTTATTTGTCTTATAAGTAAACATTATATGCTTATATGAAACTTATATATTTTATAATCAGTTTTATAATAGAAAACATAAGACTACATAATATCTGATAACTTAAAAGATGTATTTGTATAAAAGATATTTGGTTTCAGAAGGAGGTTTGTGGAGACGACCATGGAAAATTTGGAAGCACTGGACGTCCGGTTCATCCTGTGGTGGAACTTCTCAGCAGTGAGCGTCCACGATTCCACCTCGCAGGATTTGAACCCGGAACCGTACAATGCTTCTAGGATTTCCATGGTGATCTAGCTTCAATTGACTCATGATCTCAATTATTACATTTAATATCATATTCACGAAAACCTCTTCTGATACTAATCAACATATGCTCACTAGTGAATGGCTTCAACATGTATATCCTGGAGTTCTAGTGAGAAGAAGTGACCAGTGGAGTTCAACCGGATCAGTTGTGAGATAGTAACTCACTGATGACAATGGCGGATGTGTCGCTTAATTTCGTGGATTAGTTAAAATTAGACATTAACACTATTGGTCAGTGGTCTAGTTGTTAAAGCGCTCGCGAGACTGGAAGGTCTTGGGTTCGAATTCTGCGATACGAGATCGTGAATGCTCACTATTGAGGAGCCCCACAATAGGACGAGACGTACGTTGAGTGTTTCCAGTTCCTCCATGGTGATCTAGCTTCAATCGACTCATGATCTAAACTAGGTTTGAATGTAAGTTTTGACAGACTAATTAAATAAATTCACTTGGCGTTATTTTACTTGTATCTTGCCATTGTTATTTAAGACTGCAATTGATCAGTCTTATATTGGTATTTGTGCATCCTGTACACTGATAGCCACTATTCATCTTTGATTAATTAAATAATTCTATTATTGTTATTTCATTTTGTACTGAATTTGAAAACTTTTTTAATATTTCTGAATTCATGTAAAAATTCAGTAAATATCGATACATGATTAGGTGACTTTCATCTTTTTGTGGATAAAGTCTGTTTTTCTAGTG